CATATATATATTAAATGTAATGTTTCAGCTTACAGAAATATTTAAAATTCAGGGGGGAAAAGGAACTAAGAATCACCTATATCGCACCACTCAGAGATATTCCCTATTAATTTCCAACTTTTTCTATGCAGCAATATTTTAACATAGTTGACATTCTAATGAATATCCAACATTGCATTCTTTTCATATTTTCTTTGTACAAATGTAAATGTTTGCTGCTATTTAGTTTTTTTCTCCCCCTTTCTTCCATATTATAGACAAAACTGCAATAAACATTTTATCATTACATATTTGATGCTGTATTTCAGGGGACAGGGCATGGATAGCGTGTGTGTTGTGAGATTTTCACCAAGGCGATGATAATCTAGATACTTGATCCCACTTTCATCTCTCTGGATATGGAGGAAACTTTTAGGGTGCATTATAATTTGAGAGGATCAGATCAGAGATGACATCAAGTTCATTTAAAGAGGTAGAATCAGATGTTAACATGAATGATACCTAAAAAAAAATTGTCAGTTTTTGGGTTGAAAGAAAATCCACAAATGTACAAATTAGTCACAATGGCTAGACTTCCTAGTCTTTCTACACTGCACAAGCCGAGAGCCCATCATGTCCTGCAGAGCAATGCTCATTTTTCTGCCAGGCTTCCTTTGCACAACCTGACGGTCTGTTTTGTCAAAGAACAAAATAGAAGCATAGTGGTTTGGGTATGGAGTTGAAAATGACAGTCGTGTTTCTCACTGATTTAGAGGACATGCAAAATGCAAAGGTGTTGGAATTAAGACAACACTGTTAAAAATAGATTAGAATACAATAAACATGTGCCACTTTGACACCAGCCACGGATGGTTCCTCTCTTCAGCTCATCAACCAAAAGTCAAGTACCTCAGTCCAGGGACTGTGCACAAAGACACTTCTGTTTTCTGCCTAAGTTATCTGATTAGGTCTGTGATTCCCTACAGCATTTGGCAAGCTTTTCACTGAACTTTTTAAAAGAAATCAGGACAGAAAACTATGGTATCTTTGGAAGAATGGGTTGGTAAAAACAAGAAAATATTGGTAAAATCCTATCTAATATCTAATAAAAGAGAAACATGGTAATTAACCGTGGCTCTGACATGCTTCCCATTGGCTAATCAGGGCGATATGCAAATTAACTGCCAACCAAGATGGCGGTTAACCGCCAACAAAGATGGCGGTTAATTTGCATACATAGGCGCAATGCTGGGAGGTGAAAGGGGAAGGACGGAAGAAGCCGCCTGCCGCTGCTGGTGATCGGAAACTGAGGAGGCAGCCAAGAGCCAGGGAGCAGGTTTGCCCTGCCCTGTGATCGGAGAACCGGGTGCCTTTGCCCTCCCCGGCCAGGAAGCAGGGGCGGAGCCGGCAATGGGAGCTGGGTGTCCCCTGCCCAGGCCTAACGCCTA